AAAAGTGGGTCCCAGTTCAAGCCACAGCCAGAATCACAGAATATTCAAGGTTGGAAGGGACCTCTAGAGATCATCTAGTCCAACCTTCCCGCTCAAGCACGCACACCTAGAGCATGTGGCACCAGCAAACAGAAAGATCATATGATATAATGTAGATATGATATTTTCTAAGAATACACATGCAATGTTCACATTGGATTTTTTGTTTCTTTTGTTTAACAGTAAGGACAAATTATAGGACATGATTTTTTTTCCTTGTACATTACCAATAATAGGCAKAGTGTAAATGGTTCCCTATGCTGCTGTGGTAGACGTTGCTTCTGTCCTGTAACTGAATGAACTTCATAAACTTCTACAGAAGCTTATTTTGCATAATATGGACTGCCAATACAGTTTAAATGCCAGCGACTAACTCTTCTGAGGGAAAGCTTGCATCTGCAAGGAATGCATGTTTACAAGCTCGGGGGGGGGTTAGAGAGCAGAGAAACCTTTTCTACACTGGGATAGCAGAGGGATATAAAGTCTTTGTTTTCTGCAAAGAGCTAAGAGGTTTTTTCTTCCTGTGTCCTCTGTCATCACTCGTAGAGCAGGCTGCACTCCACTAGGCATGGCACAAATCCTGAATAATGTCAGCACTCGTGTGTGTAATGATCCTCATATAACATATTATAAACATACCCGTAGCAAGGCTGAATTCAGACAGAAGACGCAACATTGCAGTAGATTTGTATCTAAGTGCAGCCTCTGGAGAACACTGTAGAGTGCAGTTGTATTTCATATTTTAATTCAGAGAAAAGTATAAATGTATTAATCCACATGTTGTCTTTCTTTTAAATATTGTTAATATGCTGCACACTAAGTTGATACTTCACTAAAGCTGATTACCCATGGTTATTCTGAATATACATATGACATAGCAGATTAGGTTTTCTGTATGACAAATGTTTCAGATAAATATGAGAGAAGCAGATACATCTTGCAAAAGAGAAAAGATGTAGTTTGGCCAATAGCTGTGAGTGAGTAGAAGAGAGGGTGCATACAAATTGAGATGGGTAGTTCTATATTTTCCATTTGTTCTCTGTCAGTGAGTGAGCTRTTTTATGGACACTTGCAGACAGAAATAGAAGGTAAAGTTGTTTTTGCATTCATCACATATTGGGTGTAGTTCACTCCCACCTACTTACGAAATTACTGTGGGTCAAAGCAAAATTCATCACTCTCGTTTGGCTAGCTGCTAATTTTTCTATTTTGCCTCTATTACTTGTTAAGAAATTCCTTTCACATATTTGTGCAGATTTAAATAAATATGCCATAATAATAATTCTGTGTGCATTTACATGACGCAGAAGATGGGAAGATTTTTAGGACATTTTCTTGGTCTTCAGTTTGCCTTTTAATACAAGTCTTTTTAACATAAGCAAGATTGACACTTAATCAATTTGRAAAAGTATAGAAGATGCTGTGTAGATATTCAGTACTTAAAGTTTAAGTGTTACAGGCTTAATCATATATGTAATTTTTAAAAAAAGTCTTTATCAAGTTCAGCTTAAGTGAAGCCAATGCAGTATATTGATAAAAGTTAAGTTAAAAAAGTTAAAGTAAAAAAAAAAAAAGTAGGTACTGCTGTAGGGAGAAAAAAAAAGAAAGTATATTTCAGCATTCAACTTCTCAAATACATTAAAGTCTTCTTTAAAAAGTAGAGCTTGTTGTAACTTTCCTTATTAATAAGCTGTGTTCATGCTTGTCCTTGGCAGGTGTGGATTTGGTTCTCTACTGACAGGCTCTTGCTTGTCACTTACCCCTGTCCAAGAGGCATATGTACCAAATGCACTGTATGCAATGTGCTAAAGTGACAGAATTCCATATCTATCCTGGACTGAAGGAAATAATTACATAAGTGTTAAGGCACAGGGGCTCAGCTAATAGAAACAAACAGAGCTGCCTCCTCCCAGCAGGCCTACCTCATGCTCCTCATACAGGGAGCCCCATATATTCCCCCCCAAGAAGCTTAAGCAATGCTGTCCCTCTGCCCAGTCTTAAATAGCTCCCCAGGCAGGGCAGTGCCACTTTCCACTTCCCTACAACACATCTTCCCCTGACAAGGACTCACTGCTCCCACCTGCTCTGCATAGAGCCCTAATGCACCACAGGTGAGATACATCTGCAATCACTTATAGCTTAAAAAAAAACAAATAAACAAAAAAAAACCCTATAAATGGTTTGGTAACTGCATTTATGGGGTTTTGTTTCTTGAGGAAGTTACTCCTTGATGCTTAGGAGGGAGGCTAGATGCACTCTCCTTGGATCTTGTGTGGCTACAGTAAGGTAAGCAGCAGGGAGAGGGAATCTTTAGGGGCTTCTTTTTCCTTAGGACTGGTGCTGTTTTATACTTTTCTCCACTATTTTTCTCTGAGGATGGTTAGAGGAAATGCTAGGGCCTTGTGACTCCTGTTTGGAGGCTGGGGCTTCTTCATCGCTCTGAYAGAAGTGCAAAGGGTGCTGCTTAGCTTTCCTCTTCTCCGTGTGTGTTTCTGTCTTCAATGAGGCCTGTGGACTATGTCCTCCATGGATGCATCCAAGAGTGCTGAGAAAACTGATGAGTGTTATTGCTAAGCCACTCTCCATCTTCAAGAGGTTATGGAGAGCAGGGGAGGGGCCAGAGGACTGGAAGAAAGCCAGTGACACTCTAGTTTTCAAAAATGGCAAGATTAAGGACCTGGGAAGCTATAGGCTGGTCGGCTTCACCTCTGTGCCTGGAAAGGTGATGGAGCAGCTCATCCTAGAGACCATCTCTAGGCCTGTCAAGGAAAAGAAAGTGATCAGGAGTAGTCAGCATGGATTCACCAAGGGGAAGTCATGTTATAACCTTATAACCTCAACCATTCTGTGAAGTAAAGAATTAAATGCACAGAGGAGAATGATCAATCAGCTGCACGTCTGTTATTATTTTGAATTTTGTGTATGCTGTCTTTAATAGAACAAATGTTGATAGTTTAAAATGCAGCAGTGCATCAGCCATAGCTGCCTTGATGACCATCAAAAACAACAAAAATSGTGTATTTTTTCCCCTCACTGAGTGAAATGAGCCTTTACTGCAGACCCAGGCTGCAGCAACATTGACAATGCCAAAGTTCATTCCCTGTATTACCAATATAGGCATTAGGAAATAATGAGTTGGAAATCCTAGAAGCAAAATTGGAGGGGTTAACGTTCTCCCCTCCGGGGTGACTTTTCTGTAAGAACTTGCTAATAGCAAAAGATATTTTGTCAGGCAGGATAGATTAGGATGTGCAGTGAGATGGAACAATACAAGTGCTATTTCATCTATCTTTCTTGCACCTTCTGTTTCAGCCATGAGGAGTTTCTTGTCTAAATGGACAGGAATGGCTATCTCTGTATTTCAGATAAGCTTAAGATGCATGTAAAATGTGCTGTTGCTAATTAGTTAAGATGTAATTGGTCCAAAGAAATTAATTGTACATAAATAATATGGCATTTCAGCTTCATGGCTCAAGAGAGAAATTGAGAGCCTTTACAGTGTTGTCTGTCTTGAAAGTAAAATGGCAGGATTATTAAGGAATCCCTTAAATTCTCATTACCCTACTAATGGAGATTTAACACATAGCCYAGAAGACATGGCTGATCTCTGCCGCAAAAGGTCTCTTCATCACACAGCATTTGTGCCTTCCCAGTTTCTCACATGAAGCTAATAGTGACTTTGAAGATGCAACTTATCTGTCTCCCCACTGAAAATAAAGCTCTGGAACTATGGTCCATTCACAGCAGTAGGTGGTTGATTAAGAGCTCTCCTGCATTAATTAGACTTCAACTGAGCCATCTCTTGGGTGTGTACCACAGACTGCTTTGACCTACCTGGAGCTGTTAAAGTAATTAAAGTTCGTTTCAGGATTGCACATATCAAGTACTCCACAAAATTGAAAACTGAGTTCACTTTCTACATAGCTGTGTGATGATTACTGCTATTCATTAGTACAGTTTTGCGGTACCATCCACAGACCCAAGCCTGGGTGTAGACACTGTCTCTTTGGCTGCAAAAGCMAAAGTGTATTCTGTGCTCTCATTACAAACAATGAGGGAAGCTTCTTCCAAGTTCTCAAAGACATTTTGGACTTATAGAGTATTTGGTTTGAAGCTTACATTATTTCCTACCCTCTGGTAACTTTTATTTTATTTCTCTGATGAGAAAATGAATCCTTAATGTGTCAACTGCCTTGACTAGTTTTACATATACTTGGTCAGAGTATAAAGTCTATGGAAAATGTCACTGCATGAGAAAAATAGCATTTCAAACCCAACCTCACACAATTGCAAGGGAGCATATTCTACAGAAGGTCAGACTCGGAAATGGAGTACATGTGTCTCATTTCTTTAGGACAGTGGGTGTCATCTTTTGCTTAGAGCCCAGAATTGTTTGGGTTATTGCTTGTTGTCTATAATGATTTCTGGATTTTATTTTGAGAATATGCAAATTTGTATCATCCTTGTGCATTCTTCTGAGACTGACAAGGCTAATCTGCTAAGAAATTCTTTTATTTTTATTGCACAATTTTGATGATTCACTGATGTATCACTTTCATTAATAGACCAAAATAACTTAATCTGTGGAGCACTTGGAAAAATACCCTCAATAGCCTGAAATTCTTCAGAAATATGAAGAGCTTTGGGAGTCTGTGTTACTAAGTTAAGCTATTTCCTCTCACAGAAGGGGTATCAGGGCAATAAGCCACATTTCTCTTGCTTCCCATAGTATTATGGGAAGATGGACAAGGCAGCCAGCATTAGTTCTTGAAGTTCATTTTACTTTTTTTCTGTTACTCAGGCTTGTTTTATGTATTTTCAACTAGCATGTCATTCTGTAAGTTTTTATCCTGTTCTTTGTGATTCCCAGGTGAACTTCTAGCCTCAAGAAAAGGCTCAGGAATATCACACTATTTATGACACTTGCCTCTTCCTTTTTCATAAATTTGTTTTCCTCACAGATGCGGAAAAGAATGGGAAGGAAATCGTTGCCACCTAAGTGCTAAACCTCCTCAACAGCCAGCACCCAATCTCCTTTCAAGTGGTAGGTCCAGTAAAAGAAAAGAAAAGGCATTTGGTGAGTGGTTTCTTTTGCTTATTTTTCTGATTGGTCTGTTTTTTCAGATGCTTGGATTGGATTGGGAGTTGGTTTCCTGCTGATTGACATTGCCATTGCTGCCTTCTGTTTCCTTTCAAAGAAAGCATCAGAAATGTAAGTTAAACTTTTAATTGCCTGCAAAAGCAGAGACAAATGTGGCTTAGAACAGTGGCTAACTGCCTAGTCTCTTCAATTTCTACTTTTAAATCTCCCTACAGTCTGTTTGCCTTCAGGTATGAAGCATGAAACCTAGTTTTACAACAAAAGTTGACCTTCATAGACCTGAGGCTGGAAATGATGAGTTATGTTTTGATTTCTTAGAATGTTTTGATTGCACAATGGTGTGCTTATTCTTAAATTAGAAAGTTCATCTCTTGGAACAACTGTAGCCCTCATTTTTGAGCATGATGGTGAAATGTGGAAAAAATAAGACGTATTTGGGGTTTCTTGAAACTTCTGAGGTTAAATTAATTTCATCCATGTAGGATGATAACTTYTCTCTCTACAGGGATGTTGTTGTCTCCCAGTCTATCTACTAAATTTCTAGCTCACTGTTTTTGCTGGTAATACGCCTTCTAACAGCACAGTACAACCCTGACAGATAGAGTTGTCTAGTGGGCACAGAAATGAACTGTTGAAACCAGAACACTTAGAGGTTGTGCTACTATTGAGTGCATAGCTTTGCCTACTTGCTTTATTTCCCCTTCTATTAAGTGACAATAACAGCATTTCCTTATCACACTTCACAGTGTCTCAGACTTAATTCATTCTCATTTATAGAAATTTCTGGGGTTGACACATGGGAAGGCACCTCAAAAGTGCAAGAAAATTTGTATTGTGAGAACTGCTTGATTTTTTTGTAATTTCAATTATACTTTTGAAAAAAGTCTATTTTTTTTCTCAGAACARCTTTATTCATGTTTTAGTCAACACATAATTATTTTATGATACTTTTCTTGCATCTCACTTCCTTTTTCATTTAGGAAAGTAAAATGTAAGGATTACTGCACTGACATCTACTTCTTTCACTTTCATATCAGCATTCAAGGAACATCTTTTTCCTTTCATTTAATTATACATGCTTAAAGAAAAGCAAAAAGCAAAAAACAGTCTTTTTTTCTATCTTGAAAGGGTACTACTCTGCAATAGGTCAAACACTTAATATGTTCTGTTCAATATTAAGAGAGAAAAAAAGGATGAATGAGGGATGTCATATGGCACTAAGCAAATGTATCAGCTAGAAAAATACATTAGTCCTGGCATAGAGAACCTCCATTGTGAAGAAAAGTGTTATATGGTTTAAACAGCAGAGCTCTTTCTGATCTTGACTTTTTTTTGTTGTAGCTGCCAAATGGTGTAAGGTATGATGATGGAGATTTTTGTGATTCCMAATTTTATCTATTAGGAGGTGGATTAAGATTATCAAGGCATTTTATCTTGGTATTTTATTGGAATCTCATCAAGAAAGCATCTATCTACTAAATCACAGTTTCTAATGATATCTCAAATTAATTCTGAAACCATGAATTCATCTGATGAGTCTGTCTTTCCTATACATGGTGCCTAGCATGGCTTGCTAAACAAAAATCTTAACTAGAAGCACAACAGCAAATAATGCAAGTTATTCCTTAACTGTTTAGTTGGTTAATCAGGATTAACTAGACAAAATGCAGTYGTTGTTATAAGACTATAGTTTGGATGTTTAGGGTTTGGAATAAGAAATAACTTGTGTTTGCTTAAGTCTGTAAAATGTACAATGTGACAGCACCACACAGAGGCATGAGACTTTACTCCTGCTTTTTTTAAGGGAGATTTGATGAGCTAGAAGCATGTAATTGTGCACACAACTTCCCAGCAACTCATTTTTACTTCAGTGGTTTGTGTCCTCTTAGCTTTCCTGAGTCATACTGCTTTCTTGGAGGCATTAGGCACTAGAGGAACTCTGTCCTTTGTCCGCTTTGCCTTCTTTCACAAAGATGCTTTTGCACRCTGCCTTTTGCTTATTGCCTTTTAATAACTGCTACTGCTGGCTATATTTTAATAATTTCTATTAGATTTTGCATTTTTCCATGCTATTGCAGAACATCACTTGCAAACATTTGCATCTGGTCATCCACAGGCACTTTAGAGTGTCAGTTCCCAGGAGATTTTAAAATGAAGTTCCTGGTCCATCATACCTCAATGGAAATAGCACAAGAGTGTGCACAGGTGCTAGAGGAAATGTTTGAGTTCAATCTAACTGATTTTCTTCATTAAAAAAGCAGGTAGCAGGCAGTAGGGTTGTAGACTGGTGACCCCCCTCTAGATACCAGCTGTGATGAGAACTGGTGAGTTGTATTTCATCTTTCTTGACTGGAAAGACTGATAGTGCCTTAAACTTCCTTTTAACTAAAAAAAAAATCCTCTGCTTTTCCCTTACTCTCTCTCCTTTGCAAGAATTTCATCTGTAAATTGCAAACTTTAAAACCTTATGTCATCACATAAGTATTTACTAATGAACAAAAGCAGCCTGCCACATGGCTTGGCAGCAGTGTGCTTCATTACCACAATGGCATTCAGATAAGCAAGCAACTTCCCCGCTCCCTGTTGGGGATATGTGAAACTTTTGTAAAGAAACCCCAAATCGGAGGATGCTTATAAGTTTCTCACATTCTGTTCATGCCCCAGAGMTGTGTTATTGTTTGAAGGGAAACTTGCCAGACATTTCACTCCTTCAGAGGCATCTGTCCGAACAGAGGCAGAATTCATTTTGGCTTCCATTTTATTGCAGTTGCCCTCATGCTTCATTTTATTTCAGATATAAGATCTTTTTAAATGAAAACTGGATTTTTTTTCTCAGCTAAGCATGCTTCTTTGCTACTGCCTGCAGCATTGCCAATGTCTGTGGATCCTCCAAGCTTGTCTTTCCTGTTCTTGATCTGTGCCATCAGCTGCAATGCAATGTTAATGTATCACGGCAGTTATCATTCCTGTCAGTCATAATGAGCACAAAACATAGAATTTTCCAAGGGATATATATCAATAATGTATCTTGGCAAACAGACTGCAGAAAGTGAACAACTGAAGAACTCTGAGAAAATAGTTTAAAATGATAGAAAATAATGGAAAATTAGGGCCTTCAGAGTCCATCCTTCCCCTGCCACAGGAAATCTTGAGTCATTTCTGGATTTCCACTTAAAGACCTCTAGAAACATGAACTTGATGGTCTTCTCAGGCAGTCTTGGGGCTTCAGTTAAAAATGAGAAAATCTAGCAAGTTTTCTTAACAGTATGCCTGTGCAACTTAAATCAATTATTTTTTTGGCCTGTTCAGCCTGGACATGAACAGATTATTCCCCTCTGCCTTGCAGAAAGCTTTTTAAATACATCAAAGCTGTTGTCATGCCTCCTTACAGTCTGCTTTCTCTAGGCTAAACAAGTTCAGTGCCTTTGGTCTGTCTTCATAGTTAAGGCTTCCTTAAAACTAAAATCATTCTCACTGCTGTCCCCAGGACTCTCTCCAATTAGACCACATCCTACTGGAAGTGTGGTGTTCAGGAATGGATGGCATATTCCAAGGGATGCATTCCAGTCRGATCTGAAGGATTGCCAGAGGTGGTGGTTGGTTGTGCCTCTGCCTCTATATCCCAGAGCAGTAAGCAGAGTGATGAGAATGGGATGTATGGAGTCATGCTCAGCTTATGAATCAGGGAGGGGAGGAACATGCTGTAAAACAGTTAAAAGGTCTAGTTTTATGAGGGGGGGAAAAAAAATAGGAAGTATCAGGCTTACTTATTACGAGTTGTTTTCTCAGTCTAATACTGCTGTATAAATCCATTGCTTCCTCTGCAAGAATATTCTTTTAACTGAGTGAAACTCTGGGCTGTAATAAGAAACTTGTAGTTATCTCTGGTATTATTCTGAGTTTTTCAGAAATGTGTATCTCATCATCTAGAGGAAARGAAGCTGAAGGTGCTAACCTCCACTGGAGGTGACATGCTGAAAGAATAGAGGAAATTGCTTGGCCTATAGACTTCAAGATCGCCAAGATGAAAGATGCAAAAAAAGATAAAAATCAATTAGGCTTCCAGAAATGACTCTGAAGGTAAAATGCACAGACTTAGAAAGGCCAGACAGCATTTTAACAGTCTGATCAAGCAACCAAGTGAATTGCCACCATTTCTTCTCTGAAATGTGCAAAGTAGAGCACACTTCTGCAAACTTTAATTWAAGAGATTTTATAAATGGTTTAGCGATGGAGACCTTGAGTTACAGTTATTGTCTGAAGCAGAACCTTTGAAACATCTACAAAGATTTATTTTAAGAGATTAGATTTAGTAGCTTAATTGGAATTGACTCTTTGGTCCCCTAACATTTTTTTAATTAACCTGACCCTGATGACAAAATGCTCTTCCAGGATTGTTATTTTCTACAAAGCTGTGTACTGTCTAAAAGATATATTTGATATTTCATTGAAAGGTGAAGCAAAGAATTCTGAGCTGCTTCATCCAAAACAGTTAAATCCAGACACATTTATTTGCTATTAAAAAAGCATGATGCTACTCAAAAGTCCCTTTAACAGCTGGCAGGCATTTCAAAAGTGGCAATGAGGAAATCAGCAACAAGGCAGCAGTTTTTGCTCCTGCAGAATGCAAATGAGCTTAGCAAAGCTATCAAGCACATGAGCTGGTCTGTATCCTAATATGATTAATCCTTTCCTTTCCTTTGTGGTATTTCTGGTTATGTCAGAAAACCCAGTTCTCTCTAAGCTGCCTTACCCACATTTTTTTCTCTAAATAACCATATGTTTGGCATTTCTAATCCTAATTATTCTCCACTTGGTATAATTTTTTTCAACTTGACATTTAAGAGTTTCCTACATAAGTGAGCTTTATAAACATGTCCAATTGATTAATTATTTTGGACCATAATTTTGAGGAGTGAGATGTTAACTTCTTCCATATTGCAGAGTGATAACACACAGATAATTGTCCTCCCATCAGGAGGCCTTATGATGGGCATCTCCACACTGCAGCAGTGAGCTATCATTTCCAGTGAGGGCAGTGTTTTGGTTATGTCAGGCAACAGCAAGCACTGCAAGAATGAGATTAACTCAAGCCACTGCAATATATTTAGTTAAAATGCCCAATCAAGCAGTTTAAAATTGGGGTCTAAACTGATGACCAGATGGCAACAGACAACCTACTGAGTAACAGCATCATTTTATGCTGTCCTCAGCATTCTGTATTAGTGACAGAGTATCACAGAGGATATACCACTACTTTCTTCTAACAAAAAAAATCATATTTCTAATTAACTAAAAATGGATTACATTATGTTGACTTCTAGAGATCTATACCCAACATGTAAAGTATTGAGAATGTGGCATCTTGGATCCCAATACAAACTTCTTCAGACAATTACATCCAAAAAACAGTTAATAGCACCCGTGTAAATGTGTGACTAAATTTTCACTTGAATATTTTTGAAATGTTTTAGGTGAGGCAAAGCTACTTCAGAAACCTTTAAGGATACTGATTTGTATTTCCTCAATGTTATATATTACCTTCACATGCAGGATTTATTTGTACATATGTCTATAACTGCATAAATACACAGGATATGTAGGCATGTATGTGTAAACATAGAGGATATGTGGAAATGACATACATAATATACAGAAATTAAGAGCAACATAAGGCATGCAAGCTGACATCCAAAGCAAAGCTTCTTGCTGAGAAAAGAAGAACCATTAAAAAGCTTTTTCACCATTTCACCTAAACCTGGGGAACATAAATTCAATCAGTGTCCATATTTTGGACCATCAGATCTGAATGGTGTCTAGGATAAGGTGCACGGCTACATTCAAATGGCCTAKTCCGGGTAACTGGGTGTCAATAGAGCAATGGAGGAGGGCGGAGAATCATACTAATCCCTTTCCTTATCGTTTCCTATGGGCACGTTAAAAGTGGTTCCATCAGGGAATCTTGTGACTTGCACTGCATTGTGAATTACATTTCCACTGACTGTAGGCAGAAACTATGTGCTTAAGTTCAGCTCACGCTCTGAGGCTGCATACTGGATTTGTAATGTCTAAATGAGACASCAAAATTAAGATATGCAAATCTCTTCCTCTGAGCACTAGCTTGCAAGCAGAGACAAGTTCCTCACAAGTTTTTTAGTTTCTTATCTGAGTTTGCTTCTGATCTTAAGTTTTGTGATCCACAGTGAAGTTTTAGATTTGAAATAATTTCTGTATACTTTTTTGTAGATTTAATGCAGAATGATTAATATGCAAACACATATATAATACAGGCAGCATATAACTACAGTAATATATTTTAATTTCAGTAAAGTACATAAAGCATCAGAATACCATGGTTAATTAAGGCAAAAACTAAGATCAAATGAACAAATTGGCRGGTTCAAATATTCAACTCTTGACTTTGATGTGGCAGGTAGTCAAACTCAATTACCAGACTGACATTATGATGAATTACTTTTTGTCAGTCTTGTTGTGAAAGATTCTACAGAGATTGGGCCCTTTTGTTTTAAGGCCCAAACTTAGAGTCTTGCACTGATCCAACTCACAAGGGGCTGTGTTTCCAAGTCCTRCATATGCTGTCGCCTTAAGCATCCATCCTCATTTTAGATCTTTGGAAGGGAAGTCATCAGGTGCTACTTCCTTCCTTGCTCTAACTGAGCAAGTGCAGCTTCCTACATTAGCAGGTCCATCATCCACGACTCACTGGCTGCAGTGAGACCCTGGTTAAAGCAGCTGTAAGGCTTGCTTTGAAATAGCACTAATTGTTAATACAGGAAAATTTGTCTCTCAGTCACAGGTTATTAGCTTTAGGGGACTTGTGCTATGCTGTATAAGCACAGCATTCTGTGTGCACGCAGACATATGTACTCATCGATAAAAGCAATTGTGAAAAATAACCAAATGCATCCCTTTAAAAGCAAAGAATAGAGAAAAATGAAAATAAATTTCTGCTTCATTCTTCAGTAATTTTAACTGATGTAGTGGTTGATACCTTGTGTGAAATAAAGGATTCAGGCTGGTCAAAATTTATAGCTCAACTGATCATGTTACCTGCTAAGTGAATTGGCCTTTCCATCAACTCAATCTCATTTCTTTTTYTTCTAAAATTTCCTTATTTTGATGGTAAAAGCTGAAGAATTTTGTTTTGCTTTGTTTTGCTTTGTTAGGGATCAATTTCTACTTCTGTGAGGTGGAAACAGTTTTGGTGATTCAAGAACTGTAGATTATTAGCAACCGGTCATTTATATGGAGAAAGTTCCATCACCAAATAAGTTTTCCCTTYGCAAATGAATGTGATTAATTTCAAGGTTTTATGTGCTTCAGAGAAGTCATATATGAAGGTCTGTGATAGTAAAGTGTATCTCTAACTCTCTAACATATCTTTAACTTTCCAGTAATTGACACAAGAACAACAATTAGTGCAATTAGTCCTAGTCATGTATTRTAAGTCATTAAGATATTGTGTCCACTCAAGAATCCTTTGCCTAATCCCTGTAAGTTCAGGGCTTCATAAAATCTTCTTGTTGTTATTAGCAAAAATTACGGATAGCTCCTAACTAACTTTAAAACTTTTGATGATTTTCACTAAAGAATACAAGTTCTTTCCTAATTCATCAAAAAACTTCTAATAGATAAATAACTAAAATATTATGGAACTCATACCTAAGCCCATATCAATTATTGAATAACTAGTGTGATAGTAGCAAACCACAGGAAAAATAAGATCTCACTATATTCACACATAGTACAATATAASTTTTTAGCTCATATAATGAATGTTTCAATGTGCAATAGACCACCTGCACTTTATGAATAATGAATAGCTCTATGCATATCCAAAAAGTATATTATCTTTTAGGAGAAACAAATAACGAATATTACTTTAGTTTCTCACATAGAACAATAGTTTAATTTCAGTCGTTTCAGCAGAGCTAAATCAGAACTATGTTTAGATATCCACCTTTTTTGACTGTCTCTTTACTTGGCTCTTTGACCTTGTATGTAATATTGTGGGATTTTTTTTTTTGATTTTTTTAAGGAAACTGGAGGAAAACCCAAATACTTCATTTGCCAACCCATTGTTCAAAGACCTCAGTCCATCTGGGAACGTAAAGGTAAGTAGTAATAGCTGCTTCTGTGTTTCCCAAAAATGGGAAGCTGCAGTCTTCAAATAGATTTTCTCTTGAAACAAATAATATAATCCCTCAGTGAATGTTATTTAAAAAGAAAATAAGGCTTTAAAAGTATTGCCTTTTRTCTAACACTTTGATCAGTTCCAGAGTCTTCTCAATAGATTTGAACATTTAAGAGCATCTTGATGGCTATAGCCAAATACTGAACAGGTGCTGTCTGAGAAAAAATAATTTTAGGCAAAGTGCTTTGTCAGGCATTTAGAATAAAAAGCCCAATGGGACCTAGTTTGGTTCTGAAAAAACATGCTAGTATGATTTTGCCTGTGTACACTCACTTAATAAAATAGTTTGTGATATTTTCCTGATGTCTTAAATAAGCATTGCAATTTTCATCATTGTAAAATTCATTTGACACTAAACAAACAAGTGCGCATAGAAGGTCCTCCATGGTTACACTTTTCCCAAAGATCATTTGTTGACCATAATTAAAAGACTGCTAGAATAGTTTAAAAAAAAAAAAGTGTTTGAGAATATCTAATGTGAACATACTRCAGTAAAAGCTTCAAGGCAAGGTTTAACTATCAAATTACAATGGTAGTTAAAAATTGGTTTATATTTAAGAAGAGAATGTGATTAACTTAAAATGCAGCTGTGTCTGCTATTTTATTTGTCACTGAAAATAATACAGATGAAGTAAAAAGAAAATTAAATCCTTCTTGCCCTCGTTTTGATACTGTTATTAATATTGAAAGAATTAGTCTAAGTTTGAAACAGAAAATAAAATTTCCTTATCTTTCCTGTAGCAAGCGATGCAAGATTTGACTGCAGTATTGAACAGGATTAACTATGACAGCCATTTACTTTCTGTAAAAGGTTCCTTACACTTGATTTTAGTAAAATTAGATCAAATTAATTCACTTACAGGTTTGGGTTTGAGAGAGAGTTTGAAGTTGGAAATGTTCCCATCACAATCAAGTCCAATTTACCAGGACATTTGTATTTTAGTTAAAGTGGATTCCTGACAGGCTTCATTTAATAGCAAGTAGGAAAACAGAAGCATAATGTCAGAGCAGATATTTTTATAGAAGAGAGCCCCAGGCACCAGTTGAAGTCCAGTGCTATACCTGATTTTCTTCTGTTTTCTTAAGATTGGGAAGATCAGTGTTTTCACTAATTCTTTCTATGAAAGAGGAAAAAAAAAAGCATTTATAAGCTTTCCCCTATTTTGATAAGCCTTACATCTGAATGTTGTTTCAACAATCAGAAGATACAATAAAAAAAGAGGAATATATCAAATCTCAACTGAATACCCTGAAGTTAGGCATTTGTGAGCATTTAAATTTCATAAAGAAAAGCAATTCCCACTGGAGYTTTGAGAGCTGCAAGCTGTCCAGACCCAGCATTGCCACGTATTTGCCTCTGCTTCTGTCTCCCAGTTTTGGACCCATAGTGTGTTACTCTGGCAACCCTGTGGGAGGATATTTTCTGCATGTCATTCGCCRTTGAATAAAAATCTTCTAAAATGGTTGTTTGTCTTTTTATAGAGTCATGGGTGTGCAGCTTCACCTGTTATTCAAATCAGTGTTTCTCCATGGCATGAGGTATGTAATAGTACATTTCTCCTCTGAAGTAGGATATGTTTTGGCCTATTTAAATAAAATGTAGTAGCAGAAGCTACGGAGAGAAGTCTCTTAAAGCCAATATTATATTGCTATTCATAAAATTAATACCTCTATAAATCTGAGAAACATAACCACTGTTAGATTGGCTGCCAGGGAGCCTATAATAGCAATTTCTTTAATGTTGTCTAGTGGAACTAATTGCTGCATCATACAGTAGTTCAAACTTYTCTGGTAAGATAGATGCTCTAGGAGAATGTCTAGAATGATAGAAGTGCTTACTTGGAGAGTTCATATTATATATTTTTTCAAGTATTCTTTATTCTATGAAATTTCAATCACTTATGAACCTTTCAAGAGATGTTTGGCATTCTTTTTCCTTTTAATTGCAATGTGATGTAGCAAAATTAGTGACCCACTGAAAAAGTATGCTAGTGTACACTACCATACATTCTCCAAAAATAATACTATATATGTATTGCTCCAGAGACACGTAAAATCAAAAGAGGTATAGATGCAGGAGAATGATAGGTGGCTTGTTGAGGTCTGGGTAGCAGGCAGTGGGTTTACTTGAGTTATATTAACTTATCAGATGAAAATCTGGTCTAAAATGTTTAGAGATTTTCTTTTTTTTCAACTTAACGTCATGTATTACGTAGATATTAGAAAAAATGAACACATGCATATATACACACAAGCAAATGACTTGAATGACTCTTTTTAAAATTTCCTCCTTTTCTTTTTCTTTTAGAATCTTTCCAATAAAGATGTGAATGATACTTCTTTTCCAAATCCTCTCTATGGTGAGGCCACAGAAGACCTGGAGAAATTATGCAGTTTCMGGAAAATAGACATAAAAAGAGATTAATACTGCTTGTGACTCTTAGCCTGAACATTTTTTTCGAAAATCTGAAAGTATGCCATGATAGTATAGCATTTGCAATATAAATTAACATAGTATAATTCTTGCAGTAAAATTATATTAAAAATGGAATCCATAAAGAAGTTAAAAAATAYATAGTGTGTCTTATTTTTGTTGGCACAGAAATAAATTGGTAGCTCTGAGTTAATTTTACATTTGTACAGCTAAAATTCCAATATGTTAATAAAAATGTTTAATCAAATCCAAATTCCAGAGGTCTAGGAATTATAATTTTGTCTGTTAYTTAAGAAATCATGACTCTTCTTTTTCTGTAATTATTTCTTAGAAAGTGATCTTAAATAGTTATTTAAGYGTTCCAAGGGGTAGAAGCAAAAACAAAGTAATTGCATTATTAGAAACATACAAAGTTAAGTTAAAGATGGTCATGAATTATGGATTTGAGTATCAACTTAGGGTGTGTTTCAGCAATGTGAAATACCGATATGTGCTCTTGTATTTAAAAATCTAATCGTCATTAACCTTAAACATATCTAACCAAACTCTCTAATGATCAGCTCTGCAGTGCTAACCACAGAGCCTCTGATGTATTTAGTTTGGAAATAGTATTTCTGCTGAGTAAATTGACCTCTCACACAGCTTATATTGGGAGGGAATTCTGGATTATCTAAGTCAACTGAATGACACTTTGTTTCATGGGTAGCAGAAGTAAGAAGGCACGATTACTACAGATGTTAGTCTAGTATCTCTAGACCTCTACGTGGCATAAGTGCCTCTCCCCCTTGCATTTCCCATTCTCCTCTCCTCTTTAATCACCTGAATTCCTCATGTCTTCACCAAGCTCYAAAGTCCACCCAAAAACTGTCTCTAGAGCTTGTTTCCCCTCTCCATAAATCAACCAAGAAGCATTAATCATTGCACTTGGCTCAGAGTGATGGGTGTGTTGTTCATTTGCTGACTCGCCAATTAGTAGATCAGTTAAATTCACAATATGTGACTTCCCTTCCTTTGTGGTCTAAATTTGTGCTACTGTCACCGACTTGGCAGCTGGTTTTAAGGAAGCTAGTCAGAGCTTCATGTCTTTGATATACGTGTCCTAATGCCAGGTTTAGTTGAAAGTGGTCAAATATTAATCATAGAGGTGTTAAATAAGCAGCTAAACATAATCACTCTTTGCTTATATGTAAAAAAAAAATATATAATGAATGTGTACAGAATGTGTTCACTGTAATGAACTTGTTAGATTGATATGTAGAGAATAAGCTTGATCCAGCAAAGTGCCAGGTTTCTCCAGCTCCTGAATTTCCTGATATTTTGATGAAATCYGTGTGTGATGATTGCTCTCAGCATTATAAACAGACATTAAGCATTCTTACAAGATCAGGATCATGTAGTCAGATTCTCATTTATTCTGCAAGAGGCTGACATTGCTTTCAGAACTGTATTAAACACTAACAGGCTCGTTATGCTGTAGTCCTTAATTCTCCAAATATGGTGTCACACTACATGTTTCTGTAAAAAATTATAATGATGACATGGATCATTATATTTTTTTTTTGCTATTAATGGCACTCATATTTTATCAACCTAAGAAGAAGAATATCATCATAAAGAACTATTGTGGAAGAACTCRAAGAATATCATTTTATCTCTAAAGCAAAGTAGGATTTCTACYTAAATCATTTTCAGATTTTGCATTTATACAGTACTTTAAAAGAAAGTATTACAGTTCAGGTTTTTCTTTTTATCTTCCAGTATTCCAATCATTTTTCACTATTGTCATTTCACTAAGAACAAAAGACTCATTTATATTAACTTTCTCAAGCCTGACAGCTGACAAGTGACAGCTGCAAGCTGGTATGATTAAATTATGTATAGAAATTATACTTTTTTTATAATTTTGGGAGGTCAGAAGAAGAAAAAGAGCCAAAGCAGGAAAATTTATCTTTTCATTCTTATTTTTCACAACTTCACTTTCAAAATCTAAAGAAAATGCAAGGAAACTAATTGCTAAATCTTTATATGAGTTTTTTTTCCCTCCCCCACTTAAAAATAACCCTTGTGTAAATACCATCTGCTATTGTCATAAATTCTAAGTAATAAACATTATTATTTCCAACAGATGTCTATTTTCTGGGAACAAATTAAAAGATGGCTGCTGTATCCACATGATGAATACTGTACTTAGTCTAGTTTAAACATGCTTGTACATTAATGATCCAAGGTAATAGCTGAAATAAATTGCAACACGAAACTTGTAACAAAGACTAGAACTGCCTGCACTGTGGTTGATATGCTTTTTCTCACAATTGTTTCACTTCTTAAAATCTCAGTCTTAAAGAATATCTCCTTATGATTTTGGCTTACTTCTCTTCCAAATCCAAACATAGTTTTGAGACATACTAACAATCATGTCTCATACACAGAAAACCAGTGTGCAGTGGAGATATCTAGTGGAGATATCTGGAGATATCTAGTGGAGATATCTGTCTTACCTTGCTAACTGCAAATTTCATTAATGTATGCATATGTTACAGGGATGCTATTGGATAATCCTACTTTTAAATGCACACATAAATGATGTCATATACAGGCATTGGCCACATTGCTCACTATTTGTACAAATCAGACAAAAAGACTCCAGCGCATAATCTACAGCATATAACCTAAGTAATGCATATATCAAAACATGCCATTTTCAGTCTTTTATTCTGCAAGGTGGAGAGGGAGAAATTCCTATAGAAGTTAGCAGGAGGGGCAGTTCCTAAACACATATGTGAAAAAAAAAATCCACTGAGGGCTGAATTGCTGCATGTAGATTACAGTATGTGAGAAAACAGGCTTTTAGGTTATTTAAAAATATGCAAAAAGAAACTTCTCTACTTCATCCTTAGAAGCAGCCATTTATTTTTAAGGGTCGTGGCCAGGTAATAAGAGCCATGAATAAGTTCTCTTCCACTCTGTGAGGCTGAAGAACAAAATGCAGCAAAGGGAGACAGATGTATACCAACATCATGTCAAACTTCATATGCTGCAAACACATCATCTTCTGTACCTCTTATAAACTGTTCCCTTTTAAGTTGAAACCAGGTAAGTAGCTGACTACGAGGGTGGCTGTAGTATAGTCTCCTTCACTGGCACGAGCCTGCAAGCAGCCAGCCACGGATCTGCAAAAATGCTGGGCAAGTTATTGTTTATATTTGCAATTTAATTCACCATCTGTAGCTATAATTATCTTTAAAGGATATATTCCATGCTGGAAAAAAAAGAAAAAAGAGGTGTACTTTTTCTAAAGGATAGTCAATATGTGACAATTAAAATATCATGAAAGCACAAAGTAGTTTAGATTTTACTTTGATAGAAATATTCAAGGTGAATCTTAGAGGTAGGGGGGAAAGGAGTACATAAAAATATAATTGTAGTCTCCTTGGATTCCACCAGAATTTACAGTATGTTTTCTATTGCAAAATCTTATTTTTTGCCTCATCTTAATGTGACCACAAAGTAACACAATGTTCATTCTAGATGGGGATCCAAGAACCTGACACTTTAATGAAGTGCACAAGTGGTGAGAATGAGATGTAGTGGCTAGGACAGGGTGGATGGATTTCTTCTGGTCCCCAGGTCCTCCATGATTCACCTGTGTCTGGTTCCACTTGTATGCGCTGGTATCAACTCTCCCAGCTGTGGAAAGAATGCTAATACTTTTCCATTCCCACAGTTCAATTGATTTTTAAATGCAATATCTCTCTTTAAGACTTTTTTTTTTTTCATAAGAGCAGTTCATTTGTCCTTTTATTTATGAACAATGTCAATTCRTTATGCTTTGGAAAACATACTGGTCAAGTTCAGAGATATGTCTATGCAGTAAGATGAAGCCAAAAACTTATCAACTATAGGGAAGGCTGGGTACTCTGTCTGATGAAAGTGTGTGTCTTTGAGGCAAGTCAACGGGCATATTCAGTTGGGTTAAATGAGTTTAACAGGGAAAACTGAGAGCAAATTATTCATGGGAATTCTCTAATCTTCTCTTTAAGTACATGATCATCGCCAGAACAAAGACTCTGATTGATCATAATGGCAAGAAAATGTCAGTTCACACTCAGCACCGGCATTAGCATACAGCTGTGGAGGGCAACAGCAACAAAACGAGTGGGAATTTAGTGTTTTAAAATTTTCTACATCTTTTGAAAGCTTTGGATACTAGATCTAAATAAAGTAAAGGTGATTATGTATTCCTTTTTTTTTTCTCCAAAGCAAGTTATTTTCATTTCCTTCATTTATTTTCAATTCCTTCAATTTAGTGTTTAAATTTCTTCATTAGTTTTTCCTATATAGACCACTTAATGCAGTTCATTAAACAGTATAATTGTAACAATTTTTCAATGATGTATATATACCATACAAATTGGTCAAGTTTTAGAACACATTTTTATGATTTTGACAAGTTATAATACAACCAACTGAGAGGAGGTATCATTACTGTCTTAAGTATAGTTACTTAGATACATACTATATCAAAAGCGCTAACATCTAGTTGGTATTCTCATCAACTTGTCAGCAAGAAATGGACATTAATAAGCACTATATTACAGCTAATTGCCAATGAAACTGTGTATTACACCTACGTTTACATTGTGTTTTATACTGTAGAGAATTCAACATGATTCTTGTAAAGTGTTGACAGAGTTAATAATTATTTGCTGCTTTTTGTAAAACGGGACTGTATTCGTTGCAAAAAGCATGATTAATCGTGCAATAAATGAACTCAAGGAGGTAAATAGGAGTCTTGGGCTTAATGCTGCCCTGTGCTTATACGTGAAATTGCTCCCAATGCAAAGCAAATAAAAGGGTAAAGAAATATACTCCTAGACATCCTAAAGCCAGAAAATCTGGAAGATAAAAAGGATTAAATTTCTCTGCACTTTCTGCTCAGCTGTCTTCTTTGCAGGTAGATCCTCTGGATACTTTTGAGAAAATTCAATGGCCGAAGGATGCTCCAGATAAAAAGCTCAGGTAAGTCATAACAAATTTCTTCATATATGTTAACTGATCAAGATGACTTCTAAAGGAGTGTTGTTGCTGCATTTTGGTAATTCCTCTGGTGTTGCTTTAAGACACACAGTAAACTTTGCCTATTTTATTAACTTTGTTAGCCTGGGCTTGAAAACCTGTTTCTCAGAGTTGACATTTGGGGTGACAACAATGATGCATTTAGATTTACACTCATTTTATTTTTTTGTTTATATGATTTTGTATTTCATTACCACTTACATACCAAAAAAAACCCCTCATATACATGAAAAACTCAATTCCATTTAACTTGGAAAAAGCTGCCTTTGAAATATATATGGGGTAGAATGATGGAAGGCAAGGGAGAGAGTTAATCTCAGTAAAAATTCAACACTCTAAGACCTATAGGGATCTTTATTTTCTTTATTTGTATTTTCAATTTTATCCTCTTTTTGACCTATATCCTATTTACAGAGAAAAATCAAAGAATGAACTAACCTTCTTCTTTAAGCTCACTGCAAATTATTAAGAAAAACTTTCTGGCATTTACCAGT